TCGGCCTAAGAATCTTTCTCAATATTTCACCCCAAATCCAAAATTAAATGATGAAATCAACCATAGATTAGTGGAATATAACCATAAAGGAGTTAGGAATCATTACCCAAAAACTTCCTCCGAAAATCTCTCCAAATTTCGCCTTCTACCGAGCTCTCAATCAAATTTTTGTGTTATGAGCTCAACCCTCGTTTTTGAACCTTAAATTCTGCCCAGGTGCGATCTTCTTCGTGAACGCGACATCACGATCGCGAACGCGATGAACAATCTTCCACTGGCCCAAAATTCCTCATTCGCGAATGCGAGGGGACTTCTCGTGAACGCGTACCTTCCACTGACGGATCCTTCGCGAACGCGGGAACCTCTTCACGAACGCATAGGCTTAATGCCCGAAGCTTCCTCTGCCCCGTTCCTCTACGCGAACGCGAGGACCATATCGCGAACGCGTAGGCTTAAGGTCCCACACCTTCGCGAACGCGAAGAACCACTTCGCTACCTTTCCCAGATGCTCTACGCGATCGCGAGGCACCTCTCGCGAACGTGATGAAGGATTTTTCTGCAATAAAACACCAGAAATCTGCCACTTCTCTAAGTCCAAAGATGACTCGTTGAGCATCCGAAACACACCCGAGGCCCCCGGGACCTCGACCAAACATACCAACCAATCCTAAAATACCATACGAACTTAGTCGAGCTCTCAAATCCCATCAAACAACGCTAAAATCACGAATCACCCTCCAATTCAAACTTAAAGAACTTGAAACTTCAAAATTCTACAACTGATGCCGAACCCTATCAAATCACGTCTGATTGACCTCAAATTTTACGCACAAGTCATAATCAACATTACGGACCTACTCCAACTTTCGGAATCGAAAAATGACCCCGATATCAAAAATTTCACTACCGGCCCAAAACTCCAAAAATTTGACTTTCGCCATTTCAAGCCTAAATGAGCTACGAACCTCCAAAACATAATCCGGACACACTCCTAAACCCAAAATCACCTAACAGAGCTAACGGAACCGACATAATTCCATTCCGGAGTCATCTTCACATAGTTCCGACTACGGTCCAAATCATAAGGCTTAAGCTCTCATTTAGGGACTAAGTGTCCCAAAACACTCTGAAACTCAAAACCAATCATCCCGGCAAGTCACAATAGCAGAAAAAGATTTGGGGAAAGAAGTTAATAGGGGATCAGGGCTATTATTCTCAAAATGACCGGTCGGGTCGTTACACCTTGTTGATATTTCTTTATGGATGTAATAACTTTGGTTATTTTTGGTATTTTCCTTAAAGTTGTAAATTTTTGTTTTCCTTCCGCGAGGTGTTAATTGCCATTATTCTGTGTAGTTAAATTGTGACATACTAATTACTTGATTTATCCCCATTGTCATTATTATTATTATATTGTTAATTTTTTCTCCCTGTCTTTTATTATTCCAGTAGGGCCTGACCTGACCTCGTCACTACTCTACCGAGGTTAGGCTTGGCACTTACTGGATACCGTTGTGGTATACTCATACTACGCTTCTACACATCTTTTTGTGCAGATTCAGGTACATCTTATCAGAACAGGCATCAGTAAATTAGCCGTACGAGGAGACTTCAAGGTATATTTGTCAGCGCCCGTAGGCTCCGGAGTCCCCTTCAATCCTTATTATGTTACTTCCTTATTTTTTTTTAGACTCTGATATATATAGAGATATTGAGGATAAATCCTTAGAAGCTTGTGATTTATTTCTACCGGGTTTTGAAAGTTGTAATTTTGTGAATTTGTAGATTTATTTATTTCAGATTTTTATTGTTATTCTGCATTGATAGGCTTACCTAGTCTTACAGACTAGGTGTCATCGCAATATCCTACTGAGGGAATTTGGGGTCGTGACATAGTGGCTCAAGAAGAGCACAAAGACATAACATATGATAAGACCTCAAGAGAGATTCAGGTACGTGAAAATGATAAGAATGGAGAGATCTCAATAACTTATGTCTCAACGAAAAAAAGATGGAACCGAAATAATATTGTTATCGATAACGTTTTTGCTTATAATGTCGTTGTTGAAAAAATACAACAAGATGAGGATCTTAAACCAAAATCTATCGATGAATGTAGACATAGAAATGATTGGCCAAAATGGAAAGATGCTATCCAGGCAGAATTAACTTCACTTGAAAAACGTGAAGTTTTCGGACCTATAGTTCGAACACCTGAAAGAATGAAGCCAGTAGGGTACCAATGGATTTTTATGCGAAAACGAAATGATAAAAATGAAGTCGTTAGATATAAAGCGCGACTTGTGGCACAAGGATTTTCACAAAGACCTGACATTGATTATATGGAGACATATTCTCCTGTGGTGGATGCTATCACGTTCAGGTATCTTAAAAATCTGGCAGTGCATGAAAAACTTAATATGTGTCTAATGGATGTTGTCACAGCCTATTTGTATGGCTCATTAGACAATGAAATTTTTGTGAAAATTCCAGAAGGGTTTAAAGTGCCTGAAGCATATAAAGGTTTTCGAGAAACTTGTTCAATATAAGGATTGAAACAATCAGGGCGCATGTGGTATAATCGCCTGCGTAAGTACCTGTTGAAAGAAGGGTACAAAAATGATTCAATTTGTCCTTGTGTCTTTATAAAAAGTCTGGATCTGAATTTGTTATAATCGTCGTGTATGTTGATGATTTAAACATCATTGGAACTCCTGGGGAGCTTCCTAAAGCAGTATATTGTATAAAGAAAGAATTTGAAATGAAAGATCTTGGAACGAAAATTTTTTGTCTTGGTCTACAAATTGAGTATATGACAGATGGAATCTTTGTCGATCAATCAGCATACACTGAAAAGATTTTAAAGCGATTCTATATAGATAAAGCACATCCACTGAGTACCCCGATGCTTGTGAGATCAGTCGATATAAATAAAGATCTATTCCGGCCTCATGAAAATAATGAAGAGCATCTTGGTGTCGAAGTACCATATCTTAATATAATTAGGGCATTAATGTATCTTGCTAATAATTCCCGACCAAATATAGCTTTCTCAGTAAACTTGTTAGCAAGATTTAGTTCTTCCCCAACACAAAGACACTGGAATGGTATTAAGCATATATTCAGATACCTCCGAGGGACCACTGATATGGATTTATTTTATTCAAATGAATCCAAGTCATCATTGATTGGTTATGCAGATGCAGGATATTTGTCTGATCCACACAAAGGTCGCTCTCAGACAGGCTATTTATTTACAAATGGAGGTACAACCATATCATGGCGTTCAACGAAACAAACTATGGTTGCTACTTCTTCAAATCATGCAGAGATAATAGCCATTCACGAAGCAAGTCGAGAATGCATTTGGTTGAGATCGATAACTCAACATATTCAGGAAACATGTGGTATTTATTCGAAAGGGAATATTCCAACAATATTGTATGAAGATAATGATGCATGCATAACTCAACTGAAAGGAGGATACATCAAAGGAGATAGAATTAAATACATTTCACCAAAAAAAAAATTCCACTCATGATATTCAAAAGAATGGTGAAATAGATGTTCAACAAATTCGTTCAAGTGATAATTTGGCTGATATGTTTACTAAGGCATTACCAACCTCAACATTTGAAAAGATGATATGCAAGATTGGAATGCGTCGTCTTCGAGACATTAAGTGATGATTTCTTCAGGGGGAGTAACTAAGCAACTGCACTCTTTTTTCCTTAACCAAGGTTTTGTCCTAATGGTTTTCCTGGTAAGCTTTTTAACGAGGCAGCTAGTAATGCATAGTACATATAACTAGGTACTTTTTCTAGTAAATTACATGGACATCCAAGGGCTAGTATTGTGAAGAGTTTGAGAGAGTGGATGTCAATGTTCTTTCCCCATTATCTCCATAACTCACACTACTCTAATACTTATGGAGTTATGACTGTAACTCCATAACCTCCCCATGATCTTCCCCTCAAATACTTAATGACAAGTTCAATGACATATTTACAATAGTGATTCTTCACTTTTCATGCTTATATAAAGGCCTTGTAATAGATAGGAAAAGGCACAATTAAAGAAGAAAATCACTTCCTTCTCTATATCTCTATTTTTTGTTCATGTGTTACTAAACTGTTTTTATTTTATAACAGTTATAATATTTTTGTTATTCTCTGTTGGCTAAGGAGTTGGAGTCTTTTTATTGTATAAATTAAGCATCATAGCTTAATGTTTAAGCTAAGATTTTACAGCTTCATTTTTTATTTTATATATGGTCCCATATTTAGTGGTCAATACTTTAATTCTAATCGTGTTGCCTTTTAATATATAGTAATTTAATTTAATTAAAAAGGAGGGAATAGAACTCTTGAATGGCTTGTCCATTATTTTCCACAAATCCTGTGATTAAAAGTGTAATCGCCAACCACCTATTAAATCATTGGCTCCCAAGTTTTTCTAATACTTTCAGTATGTTAGCTGAGAAATTAATGCCATTGACTCACAAAGACTTGTAATGATTCACTACACTATAAAATTCTACTTTGAACTCGAGTTCATCAATATAAACAAAATAAACAGCTGAAATCCTAAAGCCATAATGAAAATTCCAAGAGTATTTTCTTTACTTCAGTTTTTCACTTTCTTATATCTCTTCACATTTACTTTTGCTTCCACTGAGGAAGCAACTGCTCTCCTCAAATGGAAAGCCACTTTCCAAAACCAGAATAATACCTTGTTGGCTTCATGGAAACTAAGTTCTGATGCATGCAGGGGCTGGTATGGAGTTATATGCGTCAACGGTAGGGTAAACAAGTTGAATATTACAAATGTTGGTGTCATTGGCACGCTCTATGATTTTCCATTTTCGTCCCTCCCTTTTCTTGAATATGTTGATATTAGCATGAACCAGCTCTCTGGCACTATCCCACCTGAAATAGGCAAACTCACTAATCTTGTCTATCTTGACTTGTCGACTAATCAGATTTCAGGCACAATCCCGCCACAAATTGGCGCACTTGTCAATCTTGTTGAAGCTCGTCTTCAGAAAAACCAATTAACAGATCATATTCCTCTAGAAATAGGTAACTTGATCAATGCAAAAAATTTCTATGCTTTCTCCAATGAATTGTCTGGTCCTATTCCTGCTGAAATAGGAAAAATGAAGTCACTTGAGCATTTATTGTTATATAGAAACAATCTTTCTGGTCCAATCCCAAACAGTATAGGTGATTTAATTGAGCTCAAACTTTTGTACCTTTATGTTAACAAACTTTCTGGCTCCATTCCTAGTGAGTTGGGAAATCTGGAAAACCTCATGGATCTGGAATTATCGCGTAATCAACTTGCTGGTCCAATTCCTGCTTCATTTGGCAATTTGAGAAACTTGCAATTTCTGTTTCTTCATGTTAATAGACTTTCTGGCTCCATTCCTGCAGAAATAGGAAAGATGAAGTCACTTCAGCATTTAATCTTACAGGCTAACAATCTTTCTGGTCAAATTCCAAAAACTCTAGGTGACTTAACTGAGCTCAAAACTCTGTACCTTTATGTTAACAAACTTTCTGGCTCCATTCCTGCCGAAATAGGGAAACTTGTCAATCTTATTGAAGCTGATCTTGATACAAACCAGTTAACAGGTCATATTCCTCTAGAAATAAGTAACATGATCAATGCAAAACTGTTCTATGCTTACTCAAATGAATTGTCTGGTCTCATTCCCAGTGAGTTGGGGAATCTGAAAAATCTCACTCGTCTGGATATATCCAGTAATCAACTTACTGGTTCAATTCCTGCTTCATTTGGCAATTTGAGAAACTTGCAAGTTCTGTCTCTCCATCACAACAAACTTTCCGGTTCTATTCCTAAAGAACTTGAATATTTGGATAACTTGGTTGTGCTGGCATTGGGTGTAAATCAGTTTTCAGGCCAACTGCCAGAGCATCTTTGCCAAGGTGGGAAGCTTGTGAGCTTCTCGGTAACTAGTAACAAGCTGAAAGGTCCAATACCACGAAGCTTGAGCAAGTGCTCGAGTTTCCAATGGGTTCGTTTTTCTAACAGTTTCACTGGGAATTTATCTGAAGCTTTTGGCATCTATCCAGAGCTTCAGTTCATCGATTTGAGTGACAATGATTTTCATGGTGAACTCAGCAGCAACTGAGGGAAATGCAAGAATCTGACTAATCTGCAGATAGCCAGAAATAACATAAGAGGTAGCATACCACCAGAGATTGGAAATCTCAAAGGGCTTCTAGGACTTGATCTTTCATCGAATCATTTAGCCTGGCAGATTCCTAAGGAATTTGGAAAATTGACCTCTTTAGTTAAATTATTTGTGAAGAACAACCACATTCATGGTAGTATTCCTACAGAGCTTGAGTCACTAACAAAGTTAGAGTCCCTTGATCTGTCAGACAATAGATTGAACGGGCCGATTCCAACATTTATAGGAGATTACATGAACATGTTTCTCTTGAACCTGAGCAACAACAAGTTCGGCCAGAAAATTCCAGAAGAGATAGGGAGGATAACTCATCTCATGTACTTGATTTGAGCCATAACCTTCTTGATGGAGAAATACCTGCTCAGTTAGCCAGTTTGCTAGACTTGGCCAACTTGAATCTTTCTCACAATGGCCTCTCTGGCCTCATTCCTGAAGAATTTGAAAGTTTAACTGCTTTGCAGGATGTTGTCTTGTCATACAATGAGTTAGAAGGTCCAATACCAAATAATAAAGCTTTTTTGACTGCCTTATTAGAAGGTAATAAAGGTCTTTGCGGCAATGTAACAGGATTCCAGCCTTGCGAAAGTCCATTTTCTGTGGGGAAGAAGCACTCAAGACGTAAACACATCCTCGTCACTGTACTTCCTGTTATGGGAGCACTAGTACTTCTCTGTGCTTTCATTGGTGTTCTCCTTATGTATTATAAAAGAAGGAAAGCTAAAGACGTTGAAAGACAGGATGATGGTTTGTTTTCGATATCCATGTTAGATGGAAAAGCATTGTACAAGGATATCTTAAACGCCACAGAGGAGTTTGATTCAACATTTTGCATCGGGCAAGGAGGACATGGAAGCGTTTACAAGGTAAACCTTCCATCATTAGGGAATATAGCTGTGAAGAGACTTCATTCTTCATTTGAGAATACACATCGCAAAAGCTTCATGAATGAGGTAAGGGCATTGATAGGGACTAAGCATCGGAACATTGTGAAACTCTATGGCTTTTGTTCGAATGCAGAACACTCGTTCTTGGTTTACGAGTATGCAGAGAGGGGGAGTTTGTCTAGTATTTTGAGTAATGAAGTTGAGTCCAAGAATTTGGATTGGCTTAAAAGGGTGAATATCATCAAAGGTGTTGCTTTTGCTTTATCTTACCTGCACCAGGATTGCTCACCACCGATTGTTCATCGAGACATATCAAGCAGTAATGTTTTGCTTGATTCTGAGAATGAAGCTCGAGTTTCAGATTTTGGCATAGCTAAGCTTCTCATGCCAGACTCATCCAACTGCACTACGCTTGCAGGCACATATGGCTTTGTTGCCCCTGGTAAGGTCTAACTTTTTATCCTTTACAATTTCATGAAGTATAGCTGCACACTCTGTGCTGTTTTTATCTCATTTGCACGTTTGAATTGTTATACTGTTTTGGAAATTTTATTGTTTCAGAGCTTGCATATACAATGAAGGTTACACAAATGTGTGATGTCTATAGTTTTGGGGTATTAGCATTAGAGATAATCAAAGGAAAGCATCTTGGGGAATGCATTACTCTGCTAGCAAATTCATCAACTAGAGATCATGTGCAGCTTAGTGATTTACTGGATGAACGCCTTCCATGTCCTGAAGATAGAGTAAAAGAGGTTTTGGTTTTTATCATTAATCTAGCAAGCTCTTGTTTGATTGAAACTCCAAAATCAAGGCCAACAATGTACTTCATCTCTCATAGGTTATCATCAATGGATCTACGTCCACCTACTCATCAGATAAACCCCCATGTAAGGCGAGCTATATAATCCCCGATACGTAAGGCGTCTTTTAATGGAAATGAATAACCTTTGACACCAAGTGGTTGTGATGTAAGTAATTTGATGAGAAGGTCCATGACAAAATCTAGAAGATACTGTTTCGTTACTAGATTTTCTAGAAGCCTTGTAGTAACCTCGTAAGAAGAGTAAAGTTCTCTTTTGCTTAATCTACTTTGTAAATATGGTGCCCAGCTCTTCCTTAATGCTGATGAATATACTGTTACCATTCTCAAAAAAAAAAAAGGTCCATGACAAAATTATTACTGGGATTAATATTTCTGTATTGTTAGGGTGCTTATAAAATATAATTCACTGCAAATTTGTAAAACGGCATTTAAGCCAGATACCAAACCAGCTTTATAAACAAAAAAACAACCACTGCCTGGTCACAAACATATATCAGAAATAAAATTATGAATACTCGAATCAGTGCAATTCAGAATCCAGAAGTATTCACATAAGGGATGAATTGTGCAACCATAGATAATCCAGAAGTATCTATTTTTCAGATAGGCCAATAAAAAATTAGAGAAATAAAACGTATCATCTGAGTTTATAGATAATTCACTAAATGAAGGAATACCTCTGACTTCAATGGGTGGAGTGTGCAACCAGGAATCATCCAAGAAAGTGCATGCAACATCAGCTTCAGTAGGCCATTCAGCGCCGACATCTATTTCGTCAAAATTGATTGGCTTAGTAAGTCAAATTATATATATCTTTATCCTCGGACGCCATTTTCGTCATGGCTTCTTGAAAACCATTCCTGATCCTTGAATCAATCTTAAAGTTTGGGTTGTAGAAAATGGAAGGATTAAGGAATGCTGCTGCTGCATGTAATGGGGATTGAAGAAGCATGCTCCATCTCCTGTCAATTATATCCCAAATCGGCGCATAGTTTTCATCAACATCCTTGTAGAATGCTTTGATGGACATCTTTGCTCTTTCCACTCTGTCATACATATATGCCATAGCAGGCATGTCTCCATCCATGATCCTTAACAGCTTAAGTAACAGTTCGGACACCGCGACAGCTTCACGTGCGGATCTCCAGAATCTTTCAAGGCACAAAAATGACTTTATGGCCTGGACATCGGGGTGCCTACTATTCATAGATGACAACCATTCGGCACGAGAAAACATGTGCTTTAAATTATCCTCTTGGATCGCAAGGGCCCTTAAGGAAAAGAAATGAGCCGCATTTTTTATAATTCTTGCTCGAACGAACTCCTCTCTGACTGAAAATTTTCTCATCATATTTAGAATCCAGTCATTACCGTATATGTATTTTAAGATTGTATTTGCCTCGTCAAGAACAATATTCACCCACTCATGTTTGCTAAAATCCTCCAACATTTTATTGATACAATGCGAAGCGCACGGAGACCAGAAAACCGAAGGGTACTTGTCTGAGAGAAGCCTTCCCGCATATATGTAACTAGCAGAACTATCGGTAATAACTTGGACAACATTATTCATGCCAATTTCCAGAACAACTGATTCAAGCAACCCAAATAAATAATGAGGATCATCTGCATGATCAGATACGTCAACGGACCTAAGGAACAATGTCCCTTTGGCACATGCCACAGAAAGTACCACAAGGGATTTAGCCTTTCCATCGGACCAGCAATCACACAAGATTGTACAGCCCGTTTCTTTCCATTCATCCTTTAATCTCTTGTAACTGTCGTTAATATCGACTTTGACTTTTTCCAAAAGATTACCGCCCAATGTTTCAGCACATGGACCCTACTTCGCACTCAAGAATCGCGTCCACCATTTCCTGATAGTACAAGGACTTTGCGGCTGTAAAAGGTATTGCATTGTGGTAGAAAAACGCAGCAATATTCTTATCAGCATTGTCCTGTTTTTGCTTTTGAGCATCATCAACTGCTGGCTGTGAACTCGGAGAATGGCGCGCAAACATAATAGAAGGACAAGGGCTACCGTTCTCTCCACTAAATCCACGAAGAGGATGGAGTCCACCACTAGCTGAAGAGCTTCTTTGCTGATCATTGGCAGCTTGATCCAGCTTTGGTTTCTTAGGATTTTTCTGTTTCTTCGGAGTGTTTAAAATGCTTCTAATGTGATCTCTCACCTCGTTCGGGACTTCAGCACATGGAACTATGTCTTTGTTTTTTATTTGAGCCAAATGAAACTTCATTCTGTAAACTCCTCCACTGAACTCCCGCCGGCAATAGTTACATCTTACCTTCTGTCTAGTTGCATCAACAAGGACACAATGTTCCCAACATGAATCTCTTCCTCTAACCATAACTTTAGACTAAGCAAGAGAGGTTTTTCCCCTGTACTAGTAGTAATAATATAAATGAGCTGTAAAATTAAAACTATCTACATCATATCAAAACTTGAACAAAATAAAAATATTGTCATTTTCATTGGATATGTAATATGTAGTCTGGTATGCAGGAATGAAATTACCACAATAGATCTATAAAGTATGGAATTGACAAGAACATGTGACATTGCAATAACCAATCCCATGCGTCCCATTTTATTTGATGTTGTTTAACGGAGTTTAAGAAAGAAAGAAAGAAAGAAAGAAAGAAAGAAAGAAAAAAATTTAAAACATGTGGTCTGAAACAAGCCATAAATATTCATGTGTCTATAAATCATGTCATTAAGAGAAAGTGTATCACATAAACAGGGACAAATGGAGTAATATTGTTGTTTTATATAGCTTTCTAGACTTCAATTTTATTTAAAGTACTTATATTTTAAAACTTTGATGTGATACTCTCTGTCAAACTAATTTTTCAACTGCTATTCTAATACTGTTCATCAACTTCAACTAATATAATAGACAAGTCAAACTAATATCTTAAACTCTATAAAGTCAAACACCGTCACATAAAATGCTAACATGAGCAATAATAAGCATTAACCACCGACAAAGTTCAAGGAAAAAGCCAGGTAATTAATCACAATATTTAGCTTAGCTCATTTTATCAGTTTGAAGCATTAAACTACAAAATTTCATAGCCGTATACACAACTGCGAAAAGATGAGCTAATTTTTAATATTATAGCATCTAGTTATAGAAGGATCTAGAATATTCTTCGGAGAGGAATATTTACCTGGTGATTATTGTGGTTGTTGACGGTGTTTGACGGTGGTTGGTGAAAAATCGGCGATGGCGATCCGAGGAAACGAGATGATCGCCCCAGCCGATGTTTTAGGGCGAGTTAACGAGATGATCGGTTCTTGCCTTCTCACGTGATGCTCACGTGCTTCAATATATTTGGGCTCCTCCCGAAGTCTTTGGCACTCGGGTCGGTACCCAGCCCATATTTTGATTGGGGATTTGGCATTCCATGGCAGAAAATGGCCTATCTTTTAGCATTTGGCACGCGTAATCTAAATTTAACATTTAATGATCTTCTCTCTCTTCTAATGGTCTAACCATCACCCTAAAAATAGGCTTTCATTTCCTTTTTGTTAAAATTCAAAAATCTTTCAAGATTTTCTCCCAAATCTCTACAATCGTTTTTCAAGGTTTTTAAATTATTTCTCACAAGCATTAAAAATATAAAAAATTATAAATATAGTTTGTATATCATAGTGTATATCCAAGTGTATAACAAAAAAGTAATTATAGTTTTTGTATATCATACTGTATAACATGTTAAATAATGTGTATACCAACATATACATCGCAACTTTATTTTTCTTCTTTGTGTATATCAAAATGTATATCAAAATTTTATTTTCCTTCGGTGTATATCTAAGGGTATAACACATAATGTTTTGGAGATATACATAGATACATATGCTAAAAATACATTGATATACAAAATGAGAATTTTCTAAAACAAAATTGATTCTCAAAACATGCGGGTGATAAATATTAGTAAAGGTATGCATGTTGGAAAAGTTCTGTTATTGAATTCCCTTCGTGCTGGCTGTAAAGAACAACGGAGGGAAGCATTGATGGTAGAATAAGAGTATTGTGTGGGTCTGGGGTGAGAGGAGGTTAAGTACTATAGAGAAGCAAATAAAGAGGGAGAGGGGGAGGGGTGTGGGGTAGCAAAGAAAGGGGGGAAGTAGATGAACAAGAAGGGGAGAGGCAGCAAACGGTGGAGAGAAAATAAATAAAACATAATTTTTTTAAGAATGGGCTATATAATGCCAATTGTTTGGGGGTGCCTTTGCCAAACCTAATATAAGGCAAAACAAATTATCAATTGCTCCTATGTGTTGTCATGTGGTACCATTTTTTCATTTTGATTTTATTAATTCTTCATTAACAGGAATTTTTACGCAAATAGCCAGTTGAATTTACTGTTGTTTTTAAAAAAATAATTAAATAACCGCCTACCCAAGAACTTAAAACTATATAGATGGTGGATGTATAATATATGTATAATTTATATATAATATAAATAATCGTATATAATTATTGTATAATTTATATATACTGGCTAGAAAAATTACACAGTGAACTAGATCGGCTATTTTGTAAAGACCCCTAATTATTCATTACTTTTTAGGGGTAAAATATTCTGAAACAATATTTCTTTTTTATAATAAAATTTAATAATCTATCTATATCTATACTATATTAAAAGCACGAAGACCCTTAACGAAATATCATTCGTCTTTTTTACCCTTTAAAAATAGAGTTCACACTAGATAAAATTGTAATTATAATATAATTATTTTCCTAATATTTAGGACATTAAAAGTAACTAACTTTTATTTATTAAATGCTTCGTTATTTAAACTAGGTAAAAACTCCTTATACTTAGGAATCTAAAATTGAATAAGATTTTACTTATAAATATTTCCTTATTAAAATTGTGTAACTATTTTTCTTAAGTCTTACTTTCATTATTGACCAATAAATAATCATGGATCCGGCTAATTTGACCAATATTGAGTTAAGAATACTTACCCTGTTATTTTCTTTGAAAATCTCCCAAAAATTGCCTTTACCCGAGCTCCAATCCGTCAAAAATGGAAAATGTCCCATTTTCAGAACTTAAACAGTCTGCCCAGACCATTCTTCTTCGCGAACGCGACAGATCCCTCGCGTTCACGAAGCACAAAATTGTGTTGTCCAAACATTTCCCTTCGCGAACGCGATGCTTTACCGGGCGAACCTTCACTAACGCGAGCCACCCTTCACGAACGCGAAGGCAAAAATTCACACCAGTTATTTTCCCTTTCGCGAATGCGATGCCCAATAGCGAACGCGATGAACAACCTCGCCTGCCTCCAGTTCCTCTTCGCGAAACGAGACCCTTCTCGTGAACGTGAAGAAGGAAACCAGGTGCAGGCATCAGGAAAATTCCAGCAACATTCCAAGTCCAAAATCCAACCTGTTAACCATCTGAAACTCACCCGAGGCCCCCGGGACCTCAACCAAATACACCAACAGGTCCTAAAACATCATACGAACTTAGTCGAGCTTTCAAATCGCATAAAACTACGCTAAAAACATGAATCACACCCTAATTCAAGCTTAACGAAAACTAACAAATTCCAACTTCTGCATTCGATGCCTAAACATATCAATTCAATTCCGATTGACCTCAAATTTTGCACACAAGTCATAAATGACGTAACACATATATTTCAATTTCAAAATCGGATTTCGACCTCGATATCAAAAAGTCAACTCCCCGGTCAAACTTCTCAAAAATTCAACTTTCGCCATTTCAAGCCTAATTCCACTATGGACCTCCAAATCACAATTCGGACATGCTCCTAAGTCCAAAATCATCCAACGGAGCTAACGGAACCATCAAAATTAAAATCGGAGGTCGTTTACATACAAGTCAACATCCGATCAATTTTTTTATGAGACTAAGTGTCTCAATTCACTCTGAAATTCTTTCGGACCCAAATAACTAACCCGGTAAGTCATAAAATAACAGTAAAGCATAAATTGAGCAGTAAATATGGGAACGGGGTTGTAATACTCAAAACCGACTGGCCGGGTCGTTACATTCTCCTTCTCTTAAACAAACATTCGTCCCCGAACTGGTTTAGAATCATACCTGGAGCCTTAAATAGGTGTGGATATTTTCTCAGCATCTCCCGCTCAATCTCCCAAGTAGGTTCTCCGACTGGCTGGCCTCTCCACTGTATCTTCACTGACGTTATGTTCTTTGACCTCAGCTTTCGAACCTATGGGTCTAAAATGACCACCGACTCCACATCATAAGTCAAATTACTGTCCAACTGCACTGTACTAAAATCCAAAATATGAGACAGATCCCTGACATACTTCTGGAGCATCGATATATGAAACACTGGATGAACACCCGATAGAATAGGTGGCAAAGCAAGTTCATAAGCCACATCTCTAATCTTCTTGAGTATTTCAAAAGGCCCAATATACCGAGGGCTCAACTTGCCCTTCTTTCTGAACCTCAACACACCCTTCATGGGTGAAATCTTAAGCAGAACCTTCTCTCCAACCAATTAAGAAACATCACGGACCTTCATGTCGGCATAACTCTTCTGTCTTGACTGCACCATGCAAAGCCGCTCCTGAATCATTTTAACCTTCTCCAAAGTATCCTGAACCAAGTCAGTACCCAGTAGCCTAGTCTTACCCGGATCGAACCAACCCACTGGAGACCGACACCGTCTCTCATATAAAGCCTCATATGGAGCCATCTGAATGATTGATTGACAGTTGTTATTGTAAGCAAACTCCGCGAGTGGCAGAAACTGATCCCAAGAACCCCTAAAATCAATGACATAAGCGCGTAGAATATCCTCCAATATCTTAATAGTGTGCTGATTATTCGTCCGTCTGAGGGAGAAATGATGTACTCAACTGAACCTGTGTACCCAATTCTCGTTGCACTGTTCTACAAAATTATAATGTAAACTACGTACCCTGATCTGAAATGATGGACACTAGCACACCGTGTAGGCGAACAATATCACGGATATAAATCTCAGTCAACCGCTCCGAAGAATAATTAGTACTAACTGGAATGAAATGCGCGGACTTGGTCAAGCGATCTGCAATCACCCATACAACATCAAATTTCCTCAAAGTCTGTGGGAGCCCAACTACGAAATCCATGGTAATACGCTCCTATTTCCACTCCAGAATTTCAAGTCTCTGAAGCAATGCTCCCGGTCTCTGATGCTCGCATGTTGACAATTTAAACACTGAGCTACAAACCTAATTACATCTTTCTTCATTCGCCTCCACCAATAGTGCTACCTCAAATCCTGATACATCTTCGCGGCACCTAGATGAATGGAGTACCGCAAATTGTGAGCCTCCTGGAGAATCAACTCACACAAACCAACTACATTAGGCACACATAGCCTGCCTTGCATCCGTAATACATCAACATCCCCAATAGTGACTTCCTTGGCATCATCGTGTTAAACTGTGCCCTTAAGAACAAGCAGATAGGGGCCATCATACTGACATTATCTGATGCAATCATAAAGAGAAGACTGAGAAAACACACAAGCCAGAACTCGACTCGCCTCAGAAATATCCAATCTGATGAACTGGTTGGCCAAAGCCTGAACATCCAAGCCTAAAGGCGTCTTTGTTATCGGTAAGTATGCTAAGCTTGCCAAACTCTTCGCCTTACGACTCAAGGCATCAGCCACCACATTGGCGTTTCCGGGATGATAGTGAATGGTGATATCATAATCCTTAAGCAACTCCAACCACCTCCACTGCTGCAAATTAAGATCGTTCTGTTTAAACAGATGTTGTATACTCTGGTGATCGGTATAAACCTCACAATGGACACCATACAAATAATACTGCCAAATCTTCAAGGCATGAATAATAGTTGCTAATTTAATATCGTGGACCGGATAATTCTTCTCATGTACCTTTAACTGTCTGTACGCATAGGAAATCACCCTACCATCTTGCATCAGCACTATGCCGAGACCAATACGCGATGCGTCATAAATATACAGTATAAGACCCCGAACTTGTAGGCAACACCAATGGATGTAGTCAAAGCTATATTGAGCTTCTGAAAGCTCTCTTCACACTCATCTGACCACCTGAACGGAGCACCTTTCTGGGTCAATTTAATCAAAGGCGATGCAATAGACGAGAAACCCTCCACAAAATGACGATAATAACCGGCCAAGCCGATAAAACTCCGAATCTCAGTAGCTGAAGATGGTATGGGCCAATTCTGAACTGCCTCTATTTTTTTCGGATCCACCTTAATTCCTTCACTGGACACTATGTACCCCAAGAATGCCAATGAACTGATCTAGAACTCACACTTAGAAAATTTGGCATAAAGTCTCTTCTCTCTCATCCTCTATAATATAAT